GCTGCTCAGCTCGGGCTGACTCGAACCACTGTTGCTCAGAGCTCAAACTCTTGAGCGAGCTCTTAACCAACTGAGCCACTCAGCCGGCCCTCACAAGTCAGGTTTTGAAGGAGGGTGGGAGATGGTGGATCAGGGCCTGCCCTGGTGCAGCGGGAGAAGAGTGGTGGGTGACCTGTGATGGGCAAGTCAGGTGGGGGTGGGAACTGAGAGCAGCTGGCTGAAGGGAGGAGTGCGGGGCGGGGGCAGGCAGTGAGAAAGTAGGGTGATTGGCTCTAAAAGGCAGAAGGAGCTTCTGTCTGTTGTCCAAGAGGATGCCAGGGGCTGGTCGGATCCACGGAGTTCTTTCCCCTTCATCTCCTTGTGCTCACGCCCCTGGGAAGCTGTGGATCCCAGATCTGGGTGACAGTCCCCTTTGCTGGCAGGATGCGCCGAACCCCTGGGCCTGAAGGACAACATCATCCCCAACAAGCAGATCACGGCCTCCAGCATCTACAAGACCTGGGGCCTGAGTTCCTTCAGCTGGTATCCCTTCTATGCGCGGCTGGACCAGCAGGGCAAGTTCAATGCCTGGACTGCTGAGAGCAACTCTGCCTCTGAGTGGCTGCAGGTGGGCCAGGCCTCTGGGGTGCAGTCCTGGGGTCAGCTGGGGTTGGGTGGGGCTGCCAAGTCTTTGCTCTTTGCCCATTCCAGGCTTCTCTGTTCCCCAAGAGGGAGTTTCTGAAAAGCTTTGTTTGTTTTCCCCGCTTTTGCTCTTTCTTCCTGCCATGTGCCCCACCTTCCTACTGATTCTGTAACTCCGGGGTGGGGGGTCGGGTGGGGTTCTCAGCGCTGCTTCCATCAAGGCCCCCAGCCCAAGTGGAGAAAGGGGTGTGTGTGTGTGTGTCTATATGTGTATCTGTGTATGGGTAGAGCCACCTCCATTGGCTGCCACAGGGTGACAAGGCTGAGCCCTCAGACAGCACGGTGAGGTGATGGACTGATACCTGAGTCGGGTCCCTAGGAATTTATCTGTGTCTCAGTCTCTGTGCACGGAGCAAATGCGCTCAGACTTGGTGTCTGAGAACACTATCAGCCCTCGGACTTGACTGTAATTGTGCAACATGAGAGAGTCACTGGAAAACCAAAGCATCCGCTCATGATACAGATGAGCAAACCAAGGCTGTGCCAAGAGAAGCAGCTTTTCCCAATCTAGAATACATGTCCCAGTGTGTCTTCCTTTTCTCACCTTAATGGAGGGTGTCCAAGCAAAGAAAATGTGGTTGATTTTTTTTCCCCCCCCCTATAGATTGACTTGGGTTCCCAGAGGCAAGTGACTGGCCTGATCACGCAAGGGGCCCGAGACTTTGGCCACATCCAGTATGTGGCAGCCTACAAGGTGGCCCACAGTAACAACGGCATGAACTGGACTGAGTACAGGGACCCGGGGGCCGTAGACAGCAAGGTGAGTGCCCCGCGAGTCTGGCCTGGGGCTCTGAGTGGAGGGGCGCTGGCTCGGGGGCCCTCCTGACACCCCCTCTGCCTCCAGATCTTCCCCGGCAACTTGGACAATAATTCCCACAAGAAGAACATGTTTGAGACGCCCTTCCTGGCTCGCTTTGTGCGCATCCTGCCCGTAGCTTGGCACAACCGCATCACCCTGCGTGTGGAACTGCTGGGCTGTTAGTGGCAGGCCCGGCGGAAGGGAGCGGAAGGGCCGCGGGGCACCTGCCCCTTCC